CTCCTTCATATTCATGACATGTGTCATGTCATGATTATGAAGGTGTCATGTCAGTCTTATGCACACCCCTTCAAGTAAAGTGTTACCTAACATTCTTTATAAATGCAAACTAAATGTAATGTTTTTTTGTTTTTTTTTGCAAATTCCCCCCTCACTGTAGCTCTCCAATCAAATCTCAAATTAAATCACCATGGCAGGTTTGACATCTGCACAAAAAAATCACCTTGAACCCAATCAGCTCTCTATACATGGCTTTGCGTAACCTGCTGATGGACTCCGACTCCTCACAGGCACATAGTATGTGGTTCTCTTTGATCACTGGAAAGCCCGGTTGAGACAGCAGCTCCTCTCGCAGCTTCCGAACACACTCCTGTAGGTGGTGCTCTTCACACACATCTGCATGAGTTCCAACCACAATCACAGGAGACTGTCCAGCTACGGCCTTAGAAAAACAGACATGCATGTTTCTGAAACATTTCATTTAAATATAGACTCATTTGTAATATTTCTCAAAGTTAAAGACAGTTTGGACATCAAAATACGTAAACTGTATGTTTTGGTAACATTATGTAGTATATTATAGTATATCCAACTTTATTTGCATACATACAGTATAATACATTAATTTAGTGATCAAATTTAACACCTTTATGGAAATGTGTTAATATTTTGTAATGATCATTTAAATCTGACTAATTTGTAAATTGTTTGTCCTAAATCAACATCTCAAGAAAATGTTATGGGGTTTCAAATCAAAATATGACTTCCTGTTGCGAAACTGGACATTGATTTCATACATGTCCACTGTAGGGGACACCAGGACTTAAAACATGTTTATTACACATTTTGGGAGACACAACAAGTGAATAGGGAAATAAATTATATATTAATATTCCGATCAATTATTAGACATTTTTATGAAAATTATTACTCCCATTATTAAACTTATTTTTTCATTACATGTTGCCCCAAAAACACATTAATATGCAAATTAGATACAGTATATATAATGGAAAAAACCTGTTTATGGCCATTTTACACACATATTGCATAAAGCAAAATGGTATATCAAATCATTCTGTTATAACTTTCATAACACAGTTGATAATCATCTTTATACAAAGTTTGGTATAAAAAACAAAAATTGATTGGTGATAAAAAAAGGCCATTTTAAGTCTTATTTTGACGTAACAAAGTGATAATATATCTAAGCGTGTGAGTTGTTTACTTACTTTTTTAAATGAGTCTTCCATTAAAACCCTATTGTTCATTCAGACTGATTCGAACGCGCACGAACACAAGAGGCGGGATTTATCGCATGAACCAATCACAGCCAAACATAACCAGTCATATCCAATCATATCGCAATGGAGGCATTGCCTCCTCTCACGTGATTTTCCCCCATTCATCTCAATAACCCCTCACCAAACTCATGGCACGCTTTAGTTGGTCTGTTAAAACTCAATGGGCTCAGGGGAGGCGAGAGAGACGCGGACTCCCACTGTTACTTTACCTGCTGGTGTGTTTGTTGGACAATGTTTCTTTAGAAAAACAAGTGATTTATACACTTTTTAATGTAATACTTTGTTATATTGGCATTGTTTTATTTTTGTACTACAATTTTTTTTTCTCATCCAATATTTTGAAGAGACACTGCCTCCCTTGCCTACTCGGAGGAAACGCCCCTGATGTGTATATATATATCCAACTTTATCCACATACATACAGTATACTCACATAGTATTTACTATATAGCAAATCTCAACTGCATGATTGCTTGTATTATCAAAATGTATACTATATTATCGTCCAGCTCTAATCTTCTAAATGTGACTATAAAGGCTTGAAGTTATCAAGGAATTTTTAACATTAACATGATGATTTCCTGTAAAGCTGCTTTAAAACAATGTATGTTGTGAATCGCGCTTTACAAATAAATTTGACTTGATCTGACTTACATTTTAGATTATACTGCAGTTGTTAAAAAGTTGTACTGCAACAAGACCTGACATGTAAACATGTGAAAAGTGTGTTGTAAATGCATTCTGTGCTTGCTGGAAGGAGCTAAATGTTAAACTTACTTTAATGTTAAAGAGCCAGGGTTTGATGGCGTCTATCTCACTGGGTCCTTTACTCAGGTCATACAGCACTAGATAGAGCGCCCTGGAGCTCATAAAGTGAGGGTGAAATCCACTGCACTCTTCACCACCTACACAACGACAGAAAGAGAAAAACCCGCTATTTCCTACTGACATTGTTTTCATTTTTGGTATGTTGCTAGTATCGTGAAGATGCTTACCTGAGAACTCCCAAACATTCAGCAGCATGTTCCTCTTGTCTTTGTTTCTGATGGCCCAGTCTCTGACGCTGACGCCGACGGTGTGCTGATCAGATCGCCACTGAGAGCGTTTCAGCTTCATCAGCTGATGAATCAAAGAACTTTTCCCGCTACATGGGCTGCCGACCACAATGAGTTTCATGCGGTAATACGGGACAGCTTTCTTCAGACGCTGCTGCAAGAACCTGTAAGAACCACAGCGTTCACATTCAGACTTGAATTGGTTTGACAAGGTATTTGCAATTGAAACTGGATATTTGGGCGGGGCATATTAACAGGTTCCTCTCTTTTTTAATATTCAGTAACTTTTCTCAAAACTTTAGATTCTAGAAAAACACATGCAGACAGATTTAGACCTGATGATGTCTTTGGTTTTGTTCCCAATGTGTTTGAGGTCCATCTGGAGCTGCAGACCATCTAGAGGTAGATCCCATAAATGAACCAGCTTCCCCATCTCATCAGGGAAAGAGCGCAAACCTTCATTCTGACTGACATCTAGAGACGTCAGGTCCTCCAACATACCGATCTGAGGAGGGATCTGAAGCACAAAAGAATAAAACCCAAGCTTCTCAACATTTTCTAACAATTATACCCTTTCAGGCACAAAAACAGACCAAAAGTGTTCAGCTGAATCAGAGTGTGATATGAATCGTACCTCAGTGAGTTTGTTGGAGCTCAAATGAAGTTTTTCCAGTCTGGCCCACTTGTATACCGGGCCGCTCAGGTCGAGCACAGAGATGTGATTATGACTGAACATCAGCTCTCTTAGGTTTACACTGACCCACAAAGCCGGTCCCGGCAGAACACTAATACTGTTATTCCTCATGTCCACCGAACGCAAACTAACCAGACAAAGAGACAGGTGAGGGAGAGGGTTCAAAACAGGTTCAAAACAAGTCAAGCTTATTAACAGCATCTTTGAACAGTATATTAATTATACAATTATTAAGACTTTAGGAAGTCTCATGTTAGTATGTACAGTATAAAGTCATGGTTACAGTCGATACAGCATGTATTTTAATGTGTATTCTGGTGGAATGACTTGCCACACAGACTTCCACTGTAAGTGCATTACTGCAGACTAATGTTTGTACAAACTTATGGATGAGTTCAAATTATTTTCAAAAGCACATAACCGATGCTGTTGATAAAGTTATATTGAAATAGGTTAATTTGAGACACACACACACACACTTACCTTGGCAAGCTGATGATTATTTCAGGAACACTTGTGAAATTGTTCTGTGATAGTTTAACAGTGGTTATTTTTGAAGGAAGGTGTGACAATGAACCTGCATGAAAACAAGACTGTTCATAACAACAGAAATTATAGAAATTCTGTACAACAGAGACCAATTTTACAGAATTGTCCACCTTAGTTTTCGTGAAACGCTTTTAAAAAACAATTTAACCTCTGTAATGACATATTTCTGATTGAAACTGAATATTCAGAGAGAAAATAAGTAGTGGAGAACTTGATATTATCCCACGTGAGCTGAATGGATGGTGAAAAGTAGGCACTTAATACCATTTTGTGGCGGCTTCTATTAATGCTGTAACTCTGTGTGTGTTATATTAACTGTCACTGCTTGGCGCTCTTTTTTCGTTATCTTTTTTGGTACTTTAAAATCTTTTAGTGATCTCCTCCCCCTAAGTGGGCGGTGTCAAGTGTCATTACAAAATGTATTACGGTATTTTACGATCAAAACTTTTTATAATCTTGACAAAATACATTTCGTTGGAAAGGTCTGAGTCTCAAGATTCCGTATTTGGTGATAGAAGTAATATTGACAGAGAAATTTAGACATTTGTGACAGAAAAATTCATAAAAAATAAAAAAATTCAGTGGAGTTTGGATGGCTGTCTGTGGTATAACGCCCTAAATAAAATCTCACAGGAACCTCAATTTTTTTTATATCAAGTTCAAATTTGGAACATAACTTATTTAGGCATAAGGCTTTAATTTTATAGCAATTTTAGAGTAAAACCTGTTATGAAAAATACTACAGCAATAACCAGCAGCAGCGTAGCAGATCTGTTCCGCCAAGACCAAATACATTAACATTGTCATATCTATCACCATGCTAAAATCTTCAGAGAGTTCTCATGATTGAACTGGCATTAAATCACTGTGTAAACTATTGTAAAGATTTTAGAAAGGCTGTATTATTTACAACAGTAGCTTGAAACGTTGCCTTTCTTAAAACTAAAACTATTAAAAATTATTTTGCTAATTTAAAAAACCTAAAACCTTTTTATAATCTTGACAAAATACATATCGTTGGAAAGGTCTGAGTCTCAAGATTCCGTATTTGGTGATAGAAGTAATATTGACAGAGAAATTTAGACATTTGTGACAGAAAAATTCATAAAAAATAAAAAAATTCAGTGGAGTTTGGATGGCTGTCTGTGGTATAACGCCCTAAATAAAATCTCACAGGAACCTCAATTTTTTTTATATCAAGTTCAAATTTGGAACATAACTTATTTAGGCATAAGGCTTTAATTTTATAGCAATTTTAGAGTAAAACCTGTTATGAAAAATATTTATTTTATAAATTAAAAAAATTAGTACAGCGCATTTTCTTTACAGTAAATTTAAACTTCTATAACTTTTTGATACTTTCATATTTGAAATGATTTCACTTTTGCAATAATTTGCTGATTGTCTTCTTTAGAAAGAGGCTGGTATTCAAAAGCGTTTAGGTTTATATTATAAGATTTTAGAAAGGCTGTATTATTTACAACAGTAGCTTGAAACGTTGCCTTTCTTAAAACTAAAACTATTAAAAATTATTTTGCTAATTTAAAAAAGCTAAAATAATTTTAAAAAATTAATTAATGCTACAGTATGTATACATATATAAAAATAAAAACACCTAAACAAATGATTAAAACTAAAATTAAAAAGAAAACTGAAAATATAAAAATAAAAGCGAATTCAAAATATTAATAAACACTGAAATAGCACATAAATAATAATAAAATAATACTGGGCTAAAACAATTTGCCTACTGACAAACATTAACATTAACCACCTATGTAGGTTAGTTGCTGTCAGCCAAAAAGGAAAGTTGTTTCAAGTCATTATATTTTGATAAAAGATTACAAACGCAAATATTTTTAATAGAGTAAAGAGGAGGAAACTTACTGATTTGGTTAACTGAAGCGATGAAAGTTTCCAACTTGAGACATTCAGTGAGGAAGTTGTCTGAAATGATTTTAACTTGATTCTTACCGATGTCTAAAACTTTCAATTCAGCCAGGCGGAGCGGAAGAGACAGGGCTGATATCTGATTGCTGGAAGAAGAAAAAAATCTATTGTCAATAGTTTACTCTCCATTTGTGAATGCAACCTTTTTTCAACTTACGTATATCCAATAAGAAAACTATACGAATACATTTAAGATATTACAGTACACCAGCACTCTAGAAATACTACTATCTCATGATCTACCCCTCCAGCGAGAGCTCCTCCAGTCTGTCCATGGCCTGCCCCAGCTGGAAGGGGAAGACGGTGATCTGGTTGAAGGACAGGTTGAGCTGGCGTAAGGCTGGACTGCACACAGTTGGGTCCAGCAGCAGAAGAGGACCAATGCAGTTGCGAGAAACATTGAGCGTGCTCAGTGCAGGTAAACCCAGGAGCTCCACAGGAAGTGACTGCAGTTGGTTACCTTGAAGATCTAGACGGGTAAGACTTCTTAAATGCTACAAAAAAAATAACACACACACACAATTCAAAACTCTTTTAATAAATTGTTGGGAAATATGTACTGAGTATGGTTAAGAAATAATCACCAGATTAAATGATGATCAATATCAACGATCAAAAACACAAAACGGTCAAACCAACAAACAAAACACACATTAAAGATGTACTTTGATAACTAGATTACTAGCTATAACTAGATATTTACTAGATACTATATAATTAGATTATACAGTTAATTAAAGAAGTATTTATTTGGCACAAAAAAAAGAAAAGAAAACACCATAATCCTGTAAATCAATGCAAGTTACAAAGTTAGTGTTACTTCGTGAAAAAAGTATACTTGTTACACTTAATTTTATTAAATGTTCACGTGTGCTGCACTTCAAATCTTAACAGGATTAAAAAAAAACTGTAATTCCAGATAATGTTAATGATATAAAAGGCCACCTGCATGTACACTTTAAGTACACTTGTAAAAAGTGCACTTTCTAGTGCAGTTTTACTGCACATTTTAAGTCATGTTTTGATAATCTTTTGTTGTGATTTAAGGAAGCACACTTGTTTTGATGTAACTGACTAACAAACTGAACCACATACTCTTGATTATATTTTTAACAACAGAATGTTATTTGATTACAAGTTAATATACTTTAAAAGTACTTCAATCATACTTTAAATTGCAACTTAAAATGTGGAATTACAAATATATTTAAATACATGACATACAAGTTTCAATAGAATTTACATTACAGTATATTTCAGTTTACTATAAATCCTTGTTACATTCGCCAATAAACTAACCATTTTACAAAGACAAAAGAATTATGAAATAACATTTAAAGATGTACTTAAGTCCTACTTAAGTGGGTCAAAAAGCACTCTGAAGTTCAGCTAATTGCATTTAATCTAAATTTAAACTATAATACATTTTATGTAATCGCAATTAACATGCAATTAAGAGTCCATCAACATTACATTAAATTCACACTTAAGTATATTGTTTCAAAGTAAGGGCCTTTCAAAGCATACTCCATTTGATATTGTGCGCGAACGCAGACGGTCGACACATGCGCTCTAGAAAGCGTCATCTTTGTCCAGTGTCTGCGCTGTTTTTCTCCAGAAGTAATGACCGATACAAATGTCATTGTACTCGTTTAAACTAAAGTTGTGGCTCTCTCATAAGCCCCTCACACAAGCGCTTGTCAATGTTCCGTCTCTTTAGTTCGTTTTCTACTGTGAAACAACGGCCCAGGCCAGTGCTGCCACCTTGTGGAACAACTGATAAGTGCAAAACCAAGTCAATGAGTATGTGCGACCTACACATATAAAGTATGCACGGTTACAAAAATTGCATGGTGTACGTACAGTATGTGTGCATGTACTATTCTAGAGACGGAATTTGTGTCACGTGTACACTCACGTGCACTGTACGCTGACCCTCGAGTGCGCGTACAAACCGATGTATACTTTGGCCATAAGGGAACTTAACCTAATTTCATTTGTTCTGATTCAGTTCATAATACAAGAACTGATAATAACTAATATGTTCAAAGAATCATTGTGACTGCACATTACCGAATGGGTTTCGAGTGCTGTTTCATGTTAATGACAAAATGTTTCCACACACCTGACAGAGAACACTGGGAAGCTCTGATAGACTGTTGCCGCTCAAATCAAGCCGAAGAAGGCTTTCAATCTGCTGTTTGAGAGCGCTCGCACCCATCAAACAGGACAGACTGCCCAGCTCATTCCCTGAGAGGTCGAGCAGACGGATGGGCTCTTTGTCTATGGCCTGAGGGAAAGCGCCAGGAGTGGAGCTTTCCATGGAACCCTGCCCTGTACATTTAAAACAAAAACAGACAGATTTAACAAGTGAACTTTTCAGGACTAGCTCCCATGTCAGACAGCTTTTAATGTGTACCTCTAGTGTTGCGAGAGTTAAAGCGCTTATGTAGAGGGACGCTTGGATTGGTCTCACCGTGGCATCCCTGCAGAAAGACATTCAAATGGTTAAAATCACTGTTACAATCCAAGCACACAGAGCACCAAAAGTGTGTCTGTTTGATCTGGCACCTCTGAATTGGCACGTCTACGCCGGCTGCGATGTCTCCAAGCAGGTTTCCTGCCCACTTCTGGTGAATCGTTGAAAAGCAGCAATCCTCGTGAAGGCCCATCACTCCCTACCAATGGAGCACATTCATTTTCAACATAAAACGAGATTGAAAAGGCAACAAAAAAAGACACACATCCAATGAAATGACTTTTAAGTACACTTGTAAAAAGTGCACTTTCTAGTGCAGTTTTACTGCACATTTTAAGTCATGTTTTGATAATCTTTTGTTGTGATTTAAGGAAGCACACTTGTTTTGATGTAACTGACTAACAAACTGAACCACATACTCTTGATTATATTTTTAACAACAGAATGTTATTTGATTACAAGTTAATATACTTTAAAAGTACTTCAATCATACTTTAAATTGCAACTTAAAATGTGGAATTACAAATATATTTAAATACATGACATACAAGTTTCAATAGAATTTACATTACAGTATATTTCAGTTTACTATAAATCCTTGTTACATTCGCCAATAAACTAACCATTTTACAAAGACAAAAGAATTATGAAATAACATTTAAAGATGTACTTAAGTCCTACTTAAGTGGGTCAAAAAGCACTCTGAAGTTCAGCTAATTGCATTTAATCTAAATTTAAACTATAATACATTTTATGTAATCGCAATTAACATGCAATTAAGAGTCCATCAACATTACATTAAATTCACACTTAAGTATATTGTTTCAAAGTAAGGGCCTTTCAAAGCATACTCCATTTGATATTGTGCGCGAACGCAGACGGTCGACACATGCGCTCTAGAAAGCGTCATCTTTGTCCAGTGTCTGCGCTGTTTTTCTCCAGAAGTAATGACCGATACAAATGTCATTGTACTCGTTTAAACTAAAGTTGTGGCTCTCTCATAAGCCCCTCACACAAGCGCTTGTCAATGTTCCGTCTCTTTAGTTCGTTTTCTACTGTGAAACAACGGCCCAGGCCAGTGCTGCCACCTTGTGGAACAACTGATAAGTGCAAAACCAAGTCAATGAGTATGTGCGACCTACACATATAAAGTATGCACGGTTACAAAAATTGCATGGTGTACGTACAGTATGTGTGCATGTACTATTCTAGAGACGGAATTTGTGTCACGTGTACACTCACGTGCACTGTACGCTGACCCTCGAGTGCGCGTACAAACCGATGTATACTTTGGCCATAAGGGAACTTAACCTAATTTCATTTGTTCTGATTCAGTTCATAATACAAGAACTGATAATAACTAATATGTTCAAAGAATCATTGTGACTGCACATTACCGAATGGGTTTCGAGTGCTGTTTCATGTTAATGACAAAATGTTTCCACACACCTGACAGAGAACACTGGGAAGCTCTGATAGACTGTTGCCGCTCAAATCAAGCCGAAGAAGGCTTTCAATCTGCTGTTTGAGAGCGCTCGCACCCATCAAACAGGACAGACTGCCCAGCTCATTCCCTGAGAGGTCGAGCAGACGGATGGGCTCTTTGTCTATGGCCTGAGGGAAAGCGCCAGGAGTGGAGCTTTCCATGGAACCCTGCCCTGTACATTTAAAACAAAAACAGACAGATTTAACAAGTGAACTTTTCAGGACTAGCTCCCATGTCAGACAGCTTTTAATGTGTACCTCTAGTGTTGCGAGAGTTAAAGCGCTTATGTAGAGGGACGCTTGGATTGGTCTCACCGTGGCATCCCTGCAGAAAGACATTCAAATGGTTAAAATCACTGTTACAATCCAAGCACACAGAGCACCAAAAGTGTGTCTGTTTGATCTGGCACCTCTGAATTGGCACGTCTACGCCGGCTGCGATGTCTCCAAGCAGGTTTCCTGCCCACTTCTGGTGAATCGTTGAAAAGCAGCAATCCTCGTGAAGGCCCATCACTCCCTACCAATGGAGCACATTCATTTTCAACATAAAACGAGATTGAAAAGGCAACAAAAAAAGACACACATCCAATGAAATGACTTGTTTATTTATGTGAGAACCATCTTACCGTCACTCTCCATGTTATGAAACATGAAGACCAAGCTTTCATCTAAGGAAATGTGTGATTCGTCACTTTCCTCATCTGTGAAATATTCTGATGTGCTGGCATCACTCCGTAATCTACCAACTCCCACAAACCCTTTGTTCCTCTGGAGTGACAAGATCTGTCTGGCCAAACGCTGACCTTTACCTTAAAGATACAAGGACAAGATTTACAGACAACAGTCAGGCTAATTTTAGTAATGTAAAATTAAATTCTCTACATACTGTGTATAAAGTGCAAACAAAGTCATATCAGTGTATTGAAAATAACCAGGATGTTATTTATGCCTTATGTTTTACTAGAAACCATCAAGTGAAAAGTGATTTTAACTTGGCAAATTTTAAATGGGGGGGGTCAAATTTTCTTGAATTCCTTAAACTGCCACTGTTGTTTTTTTAAAGCAAAATAATGCAAAAGGTGTATGCACAGTATTGTGACTATTTCTTTGCACTTTTAAAAAGATCACTTTGTAATAATGTCGAATACAAAGTTTTATTTTAAAGTACATTTTAAATCATTATGTTTTAATAATCTTTTGTTGTTCTTTAAAGTACACTTATTTTGATGTGTTGACTAACATACTAAAGTAAAGGTAAAGTACTTGACTAGAATTTTTACCTCCAGTGTGTTTTTCAATACAACATTTCAAGTTACAGATTTTTATGTACCAAATTGCAACTTCATTATTAGAAATGTGTAATTAAAAATAAATGTTTAAATACAAGACATACAGGTTTCAATAGAAATTACATTAAATTATATTTTAGTTTATTAATACTTATCAGTACATTTGGCAGTACACTTTATTTCAAAGACAATAGAATTATGAAATTACATATAAAAATGTACTTAAGTCCAACTTAACATAAATTTAATATATTTTAACTTTATTGCATTAATATGCAATTAAGTATCCAAAAATATTACATTCAGCTCATACTTAAGTATATTCATGTAAAGTATGTTATTTTTATAATAAATACTGTTTTTAAAAGCATGCTAAATTTTGCTAGTCATATACACTACATTACTTTTGAGGTGTGATAGAGAATAAAAAGTTGTAACCTTTTTTCTGATATTCTAATCTTTATTTTTTTTTTCTTAGATTCTCATAACTTTTTTAGTTCAGGGTAATCTCTATTGAAGAAATGTTCTGAAATTGTTATAGCGAAAACAAAGCCAGACTGAAGTAAATGTGGTCATGGCCCCAGAACATGTACGTGACAACTGTCAGATCATGTGAACAGACTCACTGTTCTTCTTGTTGACTGGAGACTGAGTTTTGCGTTCAGAGAGCAGAGCGCTGAGCCACGACGCTTTCATTTGTCCGAGGCGGAAGCTCCCGAGGCACAGGGCGTTGTTGGCGTGGTCCAGCCCCAGACGGCCGAGCAGTAGGGTGATGGCAGGGTCATCGCCCCTCCTGACACACACGCTCAGAGCTCCACGTAACTGCTGCTCATGAACTCCTGCAGAAACCAGCAGCTCCAGCAGAGCCAGAGGAGCCCCTCGATCACAAACCTGCACAAACACAGCAACCTGTTCTTTACGGCTAGGAATGACAACCAAAGTCCAGTTATATATTAGTCAGGCTTTCCTGAAAGAAAGGAGCCAGGATATGATTTAATATCACTCTGATTGTGTTCGTCTGAAAGAAGAAAGGCATACATATCTAGAATGG